CAGCTTGATCCAGACTTATTGGAGCTTTGTCGGAGTCGACAGGATTTTCCTTTGCCCAGTTCTCATTCCACGCATCCAGAGGACATTGGTAGGGACACCACATTCAGACCACCGCGGACAAGCTTTTATGGACGTCAGAAGAAGCTCATTCAACCACTTAGTTTGTGGTTGGGCGATTGATTGCGGCCTTTATAACTTATCCACTCGACATGATCGAGTTTTCTCCCACCCCGAGAGAGTTGATGCGGACATCGTTGAGACATCATCGAGATCGGGATTTATTTTTATTTTTATTGTTAATAGACTTTATTATTTATGTTTCGTATTATTGAACTTGTAGTAGCGAGTTGACCCAAGCCCGTAAAGTTATGTTTTTTTTTTCTGCTATTTATTGAGTTTTCACTGTAGTTGAATTTAGTTAATGATTGAATAAAACACGATCGGCGGCTACCACGTTTTCTTTCCCCTTGTTCTTTTTCATGGTTCTTCCCCTGCTTTCTCTTCTTCTTCTTCCTCCTCCTCCTTGTTTTTCTCCCTTTGATTTTGCATCACAGTAGAAGCAAAATTATGCCATGGCAAAACCGTTCCTCAACCAGGGACATAGCGGGACCCGACTGTAGAATTCTGTAGTCAGCTCGCGCTGACTGGTATTTAAACCAAGAAAGGGAAATGGTAAACTTAAGCTTATGGTGCATCAGTGCATGCACCTACTCTCATCCCCAAAGTATTTTTTATTACCTTTATTATGCATTCAATGCTATAGCAGTTATTAACTCTACATGACTATGTCAAGAGTTCAACTTGCTGCTGCTAGAGGAGCAGCAAAACTGTACCATGTGCAGACTAGTATGCATGCTTTTCCTTGAGCTGGGTTGTGCCGGGGGATCGACTGTAGGTGCCCGTGGCCAGCTTAAGCGGGCTTTATTTGAAAAGAAAAAGGTAAACTTCAGTCAGAAAAAGTGAAAGCCCGTAGGTCCGACTTCCCTGAAAAAGGGACTGGTTAGTGAAATGAATCATTCTGAACCAAAAAGTTGAATCATGCTAACAGATTTGAAGTGTTCTAAGGATCTGCGTTTCCATTAAGACATTACACCACGAATCTACTAAAGTGAAACTGGTTCAGGAGATAATCTAACCCTACGAAAAACCAAAAATAAGTATGTGCTCAGTTTAAGTTGTCTTGACAATTCAAATGTTTAATTCTACAACTATACATACAGAAATTTGGACAGCAAATAACTTGAGACAGAATATTAAGACAAGTTCATCACATCATTTTACTAATTACAGCAGAAAGAGATTAGCACTGTTAAATCGTCGCCTCCTTCATCCGGGATGGTTTCAAAGACTTCTGTGAACCATCAAGCAGATCCAAGATATAAGTTTCCAAGTCATGTACAGTGTACTTAATGTACTTTTCACCAATATGATATTGATCGGTAATCTTGCCAACAAAGTTACGGTACGCAGGAATAACTGTCTTTGAAGCGAAGATCCTTAACTCTTCGCGAAGTTCAAGGTTAGGGACATACCATGCCGTCTGAATCTTATACACGTCCTCAAAAGCAATACTGAAATTCCTGCATCTCTCTTTTAGAGTCGCCTTTCCGGTTCTCCCATCGTCTCTTATCGAGTCAAGTACAGAGCTCCATGTGACCCTCTGATATCTCAGGGCATGCTGCCGGAATTTCACAATATGCTTACGAATCCAATCATCACCAAAATAACTCCTGACTTCGGAGTTCTTGATCTTATCGACCATGTAATTGATGTTATTCATCATAAAAATATGCTTCAAAGAACTATCTCTGTATAGATCGGACTTGATGTCAAGGTTGGCTTCTAAAATTGATGTCACCGACCGTAGGATAATAGCCACCGGACAAGAGAGAGTTGTCTGACCAACGTTTTCACTAGGACCAGTATCCAAATTATCCCCGTCTTTCTCCGCAAGAAGCAAATTGAGGGTACCACCGTACTCTACCAAGCACAGGATGTAGTTCACTACATACTTGGTTAGAGGGAGGATACCACCATTTGCAATAGGCGCTCTAGAAGCTCGAGAAGCAATGTGGACGTGTTTACCAAACTCCATAAAGATAACCTTTGCAGCATCGCCTAGTCTTTGCAAAAGCTCATGGAATTCAATCCTAATTAAAGAGCCTGCCTCTTCTGGAAACAGAGCTTCTACGTCTGAAATAAGAGAAGCTAAAGTCTCGTACATATCAAGCAAGCAATAAAGCCATTCTAGTTGATGTGGTCCAATTGCAACAGCATGGCCAAAGTTCAAAAGGCATAACAGAGAAGCCTTTGAAGCCTCGACTAAGCAGGTCGAACTAACACTTCCATATTCTGCCAGAACTTGGTCGAACAGGTGTTTCTTACTAGCAAGATAGATTCCGACTACATTCTTTATTGCTCGACGCCATTTTCTGATTCTAGAGTTCAAGCATTTCCACTCCATTTTCAGCACATCCTCAACGGTTAATTGTTCTACATTCAAAAATGTCAAATACTCAGCCAACTCATATCTCCAGAATCGAACAAAAGCCTGACAAAATTCAAGATCATAATGTGAAGCAAACATAATATTTGCAATGGACGCGATTTGAGGAATCACATCTGGATGGACCAAATCCATTATATACTCCTCAGTTTCGGTGCTGCTGCTCTCCCTCCGAGACGCATCTTCTTGAACTGAATCACTCTCATTCGAAACAATTGATTCCTCAACAGAAGTTTCTTCACAAGTGGGGAGCAACACGTATTCTTGCTCTAAACGTTGTTTACTCTGAGCAAGAATATGGACCAGGTCATCTTGGAGTCTTGTCATTTCAATCTGCAATGTACATTGAGCTCGATCCAGAAGGTCCTTCTGTATCCAATTTTTCTTCGAGGGAAAACTTTCTAAAGTTTCTTTCAACCTTCGAACCTCATCAACAGCCTGCAAATATTCAGAAGCTATCACAGGACTGGAATTCCAAATCCTCCCGTGATTTGAATGCAATCCCATGATCTTTTCCTGAGCTGACCGGAGCCTATTCTCAATCTCTCTCGTCTTGTCGGCCTCATTCTCATCGAGTGTGGTCATCCTGGACAAGTGAACATCAAGGTCCGCCAGAATTCTTCTCACATCGTTACTCAAGTTCATGCTCTTTGTAGCCTCGAGCGCCTTCACCACGTGATAGGCAGCAGCAATCACGTGTTCTTCCGCATCACCCATTTTCAAGGATGAAGAACAATAACCCCTCTTTTTGTTGGATGATAAGAAGACCAAAGAGACTCCTAACAATTCCCAATCTGAAACCCTAGATCCTACTCAAATTTTGAAGGAACAAGACCCTCCCAATTTGAACACGATCAATGAATGAAAAAATAAAAATTCAGGGTTTCTTCCTCGTGAACCCTTTACAACAGTTCATTATACCACACATTGATCAAAGTAAACACTGCCTGAAATTGCCATTGAATCCCAAAATACAAAAGCTAAGCAGTCATATAATTACAACCCATGTAAAGCAAATACAATTACAGAAATATGTTAATTACCTATGAAGATGAAAAGGTACAGCTTTAAACCTTAAGAATTTGGCTTCTATCTTGGACTAGCATACATAAAAGCGATGAAACATCAAAATCAGAAACTGGGCACAGAGAAAGGCCAGAATTTAAAGGGATAGAGAAATCTCAACGCGTTTTTTTTAGAAAAATGAGATTTTTCTAACAAATGGGACACAAGAATAAATACTCAGAAATGGGTGGTTGAAAATTTGAACAGCAGCTTCTTAGAGTGAATGAACACAGATGAATGGTGTAACATCAAAAGCATTTTCCATGCAACTACTTGATGTGGATCGTGTAAATAATTTTATGTGGTTGATAATTTTATAGTAGAAAAGGACTCTCTGTTTTTGTACTATCGTGACTGCCAAGCGAAGTTCATGACCACCAAGTTTGGTGGTGTTGAATTTTTTGAGGTTATTATGTTTTCTGCCATATTTGTTTTAGCTCAAAAAAAATTTTAATCAAAATTAGCAATCACATATTTCATACGATTAACTATTTTTTTTTCAATTTTTCAATTACACATTTCATTAATTTTTATCAAAATTGGCAATAATCGGATTTTTAGCTAATTATGATTTAGCTAAAACAGTTAATAAAAAATTATTTTTGTCAATCACACATTTTGGGTGTGTTTGAGCCACATTGTTTTGGAAGAATATATTTTGAAATAGTAGACTGATGGAGAATGTGTGGTTGAAAAAAAAGGAAAATATTATTATATTGAAGAATGTGTGGTTAAAAATAAGAACGAAAATTTTAACGTGACTCAAATGAGGGATTTATCAACCTTTTATCAAAATTCGATAGAAGTATGATTTTTAACAAAAACAAAGAGAGACTTAACCACTGTTTGGTTTCGCATAAAAGATTGATAAAAATTTGAGTTAAAGTCAGCAATTAATTTTAATAACTCATTTTATGGGATCCGCACATTTTTATCAACTTTTAAGTTTTAACACACATTTCATCATTTTTATTTTTATCAAAATTTGATTTTTAGCAAAATGAAGCAGGCATTTAATTTTTTTTACTTCCTTACTATAGACTTTTTATTAATTTAAATAATCATTTAGTAGATATATTTTGATTATTGACATCCTTGGGTGTGTTTGAGCCACATTATTTTGGAAGAATGTTGATGCTACCAAAATTCGTACCT